ACAGCATTACCACACCGTGATTATACGATAGCGTGATACCGCGGTCGATAGAACCTCACCTGGAGAGCACGATACACGGGCGACGGAACAACACGACTGCATGAATTCACCAAACCACGGAATAGCACACTTCGGCTAGAGCACCGGCGATGGAAGGCCAACGGTCACGAAATAGTATCTACCACGAAGCCAGTGCAACCCACATAAACGTTTGAGAACAGAGAAAAGTTAGCATTTACGAAAAGGCCGTACCAACGCGCATGAACCCACAAGAGAGAGGACAGAACCGCTGAGCAGCGTGGGCCATGGGTGGGCAGGAACCTCGAAGCCGGGAAGAGCACGAAAGAGCATGGGCCATTGAAGAAAACAACATCCAACCTGTAGTACGGGGTAACGGAAACGTTCCAAACCACGATATTATACGGGGCCGAATGAGACTACGGAAAGGCAAGTGGTTAAATACACGATGCCAAGATCTACGGGGTGAGCCACGCTCTCAAAACACGCGACACCAAGAAGCACTAAGGTTGCGGCCACCTCATCTCCAACAAACCATGCCACTCCGCCGCGTAGCGGCGGCGAACGGCTAGTCTTACCCCCCTAGTGGAGTGTGGTCTGCGTCCGTCCGTCAGTCCGTCCGTAACGGGCTAGGGTTAATAATCCTCACGCTCATGCGGGCGTTCTACTGGCTGCCGAGCGCAGCGAGGGCGGCGTCGATTGGCTAGAATCGAATTATGTGGTGTACACACTGTATGTGGTCAACACATCGTACTTAAAATGTACCGCTCAAATTTCATTTTGCTTTCATTTTCAGCTGGGGTATGCAAGGCCACGCGAAGGGCGCTGCCTGTGTACGCGTTAGTTAGCTGAATTAAAAGGCGCCGATGAGCACACACGTTCGCTATCGTCGTAGGTGCTGTTGATAAAATTTGTAGGCTTCGGTGACTCATACTTCGGCCTCAATCAAAACATTAGTACTTATTGGTTTAAATATGATTTGATTTGCTTCGTAGTAGGTTTGTAATTATTTAACTTACACTACTGTTTTGCGTAGTACTATTCTTAAGACATTTCATATTTTTGCTTGCAGTTATTTGTAGTAGTAGTCCACATAATTATTATGTTAACGTTTATAATAAATCACACCTCTACTACTACTATTAATAATTGATACTTTAGGATGTGAAAACTTTAAAATATGACTATTATGACTTCCCACCCGACACCCCCCTGCACCCCACACTGCCCCCGGGAAAAGTATCATCTTCCTCTGTATTTGCACACGACCTTAAGATATTGTGTGATCTTTTCAACAATATATGTTGTGTACATCAAACAAAATCGGAACAGCGTTTGTGATCAAGTTTGCGCGGAGGCACGCGACTCAGCAAGAACACGAAAAACGATGGGATAGAAGAGCAACACGAAGCACGGAACGTCATGGACGATGATAGAAGATTTAGCCGATGCAAACCACGAAGTGTTTTACGTAGCGTGAAAGATGGAAGTGCACGCAGCCATGGAAAGAACAGAAGAACGAGAATATGACGGGAGCGTACGGGCCACGGAAGGGAACTAAATACATAGACACCCCAGCATGCTGAAATGCACGGCTACGGAAGAGCACGCAACTTCGAAGCCACTGTAGAGCACGTAGCGGTAAGAGTGCACGGACAGTAATTCTCCCATAGCACCACGGTACAACACGGAGCACAGTCGACCGACCAAACGTGAAAACGCGATGTACCATAAACGGAAGATCATTCGAGCATTGGAGCCCGATATTAGGGTAGAATCGGAGCTCACCGAGTCCGACAGCACGACACTACGGTAGCTAACGATCTCACAGACGACAGACCAACCGCAACATCGCAAGCTAACACTATAGCATGGACTGTGCCACTAAGCCATAGGGGAGCACAGCCACAGGAGCTATAGACGGGATATCTTTGAGCCACGGAGCACGATGCAAGCGTAGAAGCTCAGCTCCCCGAGCCACGGAGGACAGTAGCACATTAAAACTCGATTGCACGGACGGCAGACCAGCCACGAAAATCACGGGGGTGCTTGAGGTGACCACGATTGCACACCGTGGAGCACGAAGCCCATGTAGAGCACGATAACACGGGCAACGCAGATGCACTACGCGAGCACAATACCATAAATACCATTACCACACCGCGATTGCTCCATAGCGTCGTAACGCGGTCGATGGAATCTTACCAGGAGAGCGCGATACACGGGCGACGGAACAACACGACTGCGTGGAGGCACCAAACCACGGATTAGGACCCTTCAGGTAGAGTACTTGGATGGGAAACCAACGACCACAAAAGACTATGAACCACGAAACCAGTGCAGCCCCCGTAAACGTTTGAGATCAGGAAATAGTTAGCATCCACGAAAGAGGGTCATACTACTGAAGAGCATGAGCCCAAGAGAGAGGGTCCATAATTACCAAGCATCATGGACCACGGGTGAGCAGGAAACCACGATGCCGGGAAGATCACATAAGATCGCAGGCCATTGAAGAACATGACTACAACCTGTAGTACGGATAACCGAAATGTACCAAACCACGATATTGTACGGGTCCACATGATACTACGGAAAGGCAAGTGGTTAAATACACGATGCCAAGATCTACGGGGTGAACCACGCTCTCTAAACACGCGACACCAAGAAGCACTTAAATTTGCGGCCACCTCATCTACAACAAACCATGCCACTCCGCCGCGTAGCGGCGGCGAACGGCTAGTCTTAAACATCTACTGCAGCAACCTGTCTGTCCGTCACACTAAATTGTCGTGCCTGTCACGCTTTTCCGGACAAATCATTGGATAAAATAATTGAAATATTTCTACTGGCTGACGAGCGCAGCGAAGGTGTCTTCAATTGGTTAAAACTAGATGGTGTAGCTGACATCAATAAATGCATGTGTTTCCCAGATTACATATGGGGATTTGCACAAGGCTATACATTATCATATTATAATAATTATCCGAAGGCGGCATCGTTTAAATATTATATACTTTTTTATAATGCAAGTTGTTATTGATATTTGAATACTACAGTAAAAGGAGGGCAGGGTGCTTAGCGTACACGTAAGCATGCGTGTTTCCGAGATCATGATTTTTTTTAATATACTACTCAGTAGGATCTGCGTGTTACACTGACTAAAATGATAATTTCAATATATTTACTGTAAAAATATTAGCATTAATAAGTTATCTGAGTGGGTTTCTGGTACCGTATTCCTTATGTGATTGGCGACAGTCAAATTCTTGAGGTGGTCCAGCCTTTCTGCCAGCATAAAAGATACCTGCATAGAAAAAACTATATGACATGCTCAAAAATATATTGGTCGCCAAGCACATAAAGCGCGACGACACGAAATTTAAAATCATTTGATTGGATGCTGGATTTGTCGCTAATGACCGAGCGGTCGCGAATCACATAAGGAATACGGTATTGCTAAATCGTACATGTTACATGTACAGCAGTAGCCGGTCGTGTAGACTGACCGTAAGAACAAAACTGTGCTTATAAACGTTGTCACTTGATCCACAAAGATATATAGTGTTAGATTGACGTGTGAACAAAAAGAAGTTATATGTGCTGATGACAATTACTACTGTAAGCGAATTGAACTTGACCATTGTTTCCTTAGCGTTTTTTTAGACAACAAAATTCTGATCCTTTTTAATAGGTCGACGCGTTGCCGACAAGGGCGTAGAATAAGGTTTTATATGCAGTGGTAAGATAACAGCACAACATGAGAGGTGTCAATTTTGGTTATTATAAGTAGGCCCGTAAAGAAACGTTAATCAACTTAGAGCCTAATCTACGTTTAACCCTCCTGGAATCATCGTTTAAGTATCAAATAAAAATACCGCCGTCAACAAAAGGCGTCGTGCGACGCATCGTTATATCCAAAGGCTACAGTATAACCATAACAGGCACAGATTGGAGTGTCTAATGACTAATTCCGAATCAGCACAAAATGAACACACTTCAAGGCATAAAAAAATGCTACAGCTTGAATATTTTTATTAAATATTCAAACTGTAACACTTTTAATTTTCTTTCAAAGTAGCGAGTTTGGTTTGCGAAGTGGTTACTAGTCAGTTTATTACAAGCTTAACCAGGCAGTACAAGCGGGTATTTGATGCAAGCTGGACAGATATTCTTTGCATTGTTGCAATCTAGGTTTCAGAAACGGCCCGTGAAATCGAGCACGACGCTAAACTAAATATATTATTTAGCGGTTTTAGACTGAAGTGCAGGTGCTTCTGGGTGGAAGATTAAGGTACAGTGATCGCCAACAACAATAAAGAGACTTTGCCAAGATCACTAGCGTAATCGTTTATAAGCATGGTAAGTATGATGCTAGGGTCTCAGTCTTTTGTACCGGTAAAAATATTTACACGGCTTACTGGGAACTCAGCATTTTGTAGCAAATGAAACGCAGATTTATGAAATTAAAGAAGTCGATTTAGGCACATGGGGGACTCAGAGGATTTGGACTAATTATCCCGCCGAAGCGAAGCGAAGGCGGGAAGGCAAAAATCTAGAGTAAAACCTAAATTACCGCCGCGTAGCGGCGGCGCTCGGCTAGTGAGTATAGGTTAATTAAAGCTACGAAAATCATGAATGTAATGGTGTCTGACTTACACTCCTGGACACAATTATACGGCCACCTCGTCGAGCCCATAACTCAGTCAATTTTTATTATTTGACGGTGCGGTTTTCACACAAGTTGCAAAACATGCTTCAAAATAGCAAGGATGTGCTAACGCTCGCGGTTTTGCACTTTATAGGGAGGCTCACATACAAAAAAGAGATTTGTGTGTCCAGGAGTGCTGGAGAAACCTGCTCAGAAATAATTCTCCTTACCCTAAAGTGGAAAGTCTTCGGCTACCAAATAAAATAACACGTAGGATACGACATATTTTAACGAGTTTTCGATACACTTTCTTGGGAGCCAAGGGGTAAATTTACAAACGACAACTACTCCACAAATTCATCTACGGAATTAACAGTTGACGGCGGTGCAGGTTGATCTTGTACTCCCACGACTGCTGCTGCGCGTAGCTCGACACATACAGCACGTACATGGTGCCCTTAGCATACAATTTCACAGGGAAGAGTCGACTCGGGTCGCTCTTGGGCTGCGCGTCGGACTTGATAATCTGCAGTTTAGCCAGATCCACGCTAGTGAGCAGCTTGGCCGTCGTATTGTCGAACAGGTGGAACGTCGTGTCCGTGAGCACACCCCAGCGTATCACCATCGTCTTCCTTGGTGGCGAGGCACTCGCCGGCGTCTTAGGCGTCCGTGATGCTGGAGAAGCCAGTAGCCCATTACTTGACACTTGTTTGGACCACAAGGAGAACGACCGTCGCCCTCGAGTAGGAACAGGAGGAGCCAAGAGGAATTGACCCGATTTACACGGCATACGGGACGAAATGGGCGTGATCTCGAGCTCCACAGTGCCCTTTACGAAGCGATGGAGTCCCACGATAGATTCCTCCACTGGGAACTTCCATTTGGCCAGTGGGGCACTGAACGTCCTGTTATGTTCCCATCCAGGCTCCATTGCCACAATTGCCTGCCCTAGAAACCGCAATCTACCAGTGTTTGTGACGCCGATCAACGTGGTGACAATGTCGCACTTGCTGGACATTAATGGCACAAAAAACTTGTCCGTCCAGGTGGGTAAATTCACGTTGGTGCATTTTTCAGAGGAAAAGTGGAACATGAACGGTCCGAAGGGTTTCTTAAGCACGCGTACGTTGCAGAAGAGTGACACCACGTTGCGGAAGTCGCATAGCATTTCCAGGCCGCGCACCTGAGTGATCTGTAGCTCCACAGGTCGCCCCACGGCGCTGAGTCGCTTGGCCAAGTTGCGTCTTGCCATGAAGCAGCGTACAAGGCGCTGAGTTACCACTGCCGCTGCGTGGCGCGTTGCACGCTGCTCTAGAGGCTGCAGTTTCTCCTGCTCCACAAGACGCTGTGCCTCCGTTAAGTTCGGGTTGGCGGGAGGAGTGTCATCGCCCCATACGCGACGGCTCTGAGCGTCCATAGGCGGTGTGCCCGGTATCTGAAGGTCCTGCTCCTGTTCGGGCTCAAGCGACAGCTTCTTTACATCCAGTGGTGGCGTGTTGGCCTGGTTGGACGCCACATCCTCGCTCGGACGGCACGGGGGACGCACACTCGACGGCATCGCGGGCTCGATGGAAAGTGGCGTGAAATTGGTTTGGAGAAAAAGTGAGCGCTTACTGAAATTATCTTGTTTTTTGTAAGGGAGAGAGACTAATTAGGACCAGGCAGCGAGGTACCATGTTTCTAGTGAGTCTGATATGCGAGGAAATAAAGGTGGTGAAATACTAGTAGTCGTACAGTACTGTACTACGAGTGTACGTATGAATAGAACCCATACTAATGAATGTTCGGTCCTCATACTTCTAGAGCGCGAGACTTTCGCGCTGCAGACTCGGAAGGACCAGGAGGTTCGATCTAGGACAGGTTTAACATGCCACGACGCACGACGACGAGGCGTCGACGACGGCCTCAAGTGGGGGCTTTAACGAGGCAATGACACTTCAAGTGGAGAACTGAGACGTTCTCCTCCGTCCAGGGCATATAACTCATAAATACAGTTGCGCTGTTTCACCACAGCTCGTAGCCCGCGTGCACATAACGCTGTCATCTTGTCAGCAAGTTCATTTATGATGTGGAAGTATCAGTAACGTTAATCTAGGAGTCCTAATCTAGGACTCAAGAATATATTACAGTAGTATTTTATTTTATTTGTTAGGGCACACTCAACATGATCGAGAGACCTCCCTGACCGAAATGGCGGATTTCCTAGGCCCGAAATCAGTACCAGTCTCTCGATAGACAGAGACCAGCTCTTCTCGGAGACCGTGGCCCAACTATTCTCGTCGAAAGAACCTGCAAGCGCGACCTATTCACTGGCTGAACAAGTGAGGGCACTTAGAAACGCACAAGCAGCAAAGAGGCGACTGAAGTATCGGAAACTCAAATGTGAACGCGAAACACTAGAAGACAAAGAAGCAGTTCTTTCTGAAGATTTGAAGAGATCTTGCGTGCTCGAAAGCTAGCGAAAGCCCTCGGGGATAAAACGCTGGCGACGTCTACGCTGAAGCCTTCCACTAGAAGGCCAGTGTTCTAATACAAAAGGAAGGTCGATTGGTGGCCTAACAGAAGATGCAGAATGCAGAATGCTATCGAGAATCGACGAGATCGCTCAGATGATTCGAGAGACCATGAGCATATCGAAAGACAGGGTGCAGTACTGTGCGTCCTAGTGGCCTCGATAAAACTGCATTTGAGGGCTGTCATGCAAACCTTTGTTCGGTTTATCCCAATGAATGCAATCGGTACTTCAAACGAGGCTGTGACTTTTGCTGAAAGCTGTGGCGCCGAGATCGCACGCATGATAGACTCTTCACTTCTTGTAGACAATGACTAAAACGGGGGAAGGTTGTGATTACTTCGTCGCGCGGACTACGCTTCGAGTTACTCTGTCTACCATCTACTTCGTAGTCGTGTGGCTACGGCGCTACAGCGTCGTCGGTGATAGTTGGCTAACCGATCGCTTCTAATTTAGAAGCTCTAAATATTTGCTCGATTACCTAGGTTTCAGAATCAGATGGTCCTGAAAAGCTACCCACACGAATCAGGTCACCTCATTCGTGTGGATAACTTTTTTCAGATCACCATCAACCGTCACTTTACTTTTGTGCCGGGCCCACAGGATGGGGCATTCTTCATCCAAACCCAACTCAAGTAAAGAACCTTCAGCACCAGGAGCCCCTCCAAGTGCCATTCGGAATAACGTTCTCAACGTTATAAGCGATCGCTCTCCACTCGTGTGCACGTTTTACTATGAATGTCAAGTATTCACGCAGCAGATCCAACTGCCGCTTCTGTACGACCATCCACGGCCTGGAACACAGGGTACAGCGCTCATGGACTTGGAGCTGGATCTTAGAAAAAAGCTACAACTACCCGAAGGCTCCAGTGTCTTCGCTGTCGTACCGGCAGATGAGCTTTACAGTCCCCCATATCCTCTGGTAATGATCAACATTGTGGCTGCTAGACTGTTCGACCAATTTGAAGAATCTCACGTTCCAATTCTGCATTTCGCTTTGGTTGTCCGACACATGGGGCTTCTAAGGCAGCCTCTTCCAATGGGAAATGCATACGAGTCGCCGTTCTTCGCGGTAAATGCGGCAACGTTGGCGGAGTCGACGAGCTGTATTGCACGCAGCTTGGCTCGACGTAGATTTGTTCAGAACTTACAAAATTTCGGCTTTGCAAGACTCGAAGTTACGTCGGAGCAGGCAAAAATTCCTCAACTCGCGTTCGAACGGGTGAGAAAATGGCTGGTGGAACAAATGGAGCTCTCCAAGGAGAAGAGATGGGTCGACTATGTTGATGTAAGCAAAGCTGGAGAGACGGATAACTCGAGTGACAGTTATTACTCTTCACACCCGAATGTGTCTCGTGGGCGACGTGTGGGCTTTAGTTCGGATCGCAATCGAGAGTACATGCAACTACGTCTCCCTATAGCTGCAAGTGGTACACCGTGGCCCCCTGTTTACTTCCAGGATAGCAACGAGAACAAGGAGTTTGCGACCGATCTGCTGACGTTATTGGAGCTACTGGACGATATATCACGTGATTGCATGAAGGCTGTCTGTGAAGTACTAAACATTGACGAGCGCTGGCTATTTGAAGAGCTTCTGGACGATCGAACTCGTCCAACCGATAGCTTTACTGGATCTCGAGACCCAAGTTACCAGTATGGGGCATCGGTGCTTCGTGTATACAATTACCGTAACAAGGGACGTAGCCCCGCTGAGGTGGATCCGAACGATTTTTCATGTGGAGTGCATGCTGATCTTGGCCTTGTTACCGTGTCTCCTGTAGCTACTGTCCCGGGGCTACAGATGTGGAACTTGGAACGAATGAACTGGGTGGAGGTGGAGGAAAATGCCTCAACACTTCACTTCTCGGTATTTGCTGGAGAGACGCTAGGGCTGCTAACACACGGAGTCATCTCGGCTCCTTTGCATCGTGTGCCGCCGATTTGCGTGGAATCGGAATCTGGGAGACAAATGTCCATGCCTTATTTTCTGCGAGCAAAACCTGGTGCGTGTCTTAATCCGAAAGCACCGAAAGCTGAGCAAATAACGTGCCGCGACTTCATGGAGGACGTTGTGTTCAAGAAACGACTGTGGCGTCGAGAGAACAGTAATAATCCTGCACCGCCAGACTACTAAACACAAGCAAGTATTTCATAAATCCGATACTACATGTACAATACTTCGTAGTAGTTTTTTTAAATTACTTCGAAATATTTTTCTTCTAGAAGACATGTACTTTAGGCGATAACTTTGGATGTCGAGAATCGGAACGACAAGAAGGCTGGATGGCGGATGTGACTTTTATTCTGACATCATCATGTTCACATACTCAATATAGTTGATGTTGCCATGTTGATCAGGCTCGAGCTGTTTCGTAGGTAAAAAAAAGCGAATGTGAGAGTTTTACGGATCAATTGCACTAAGTGTTGTTCATTTCGTACCTGGCTGATGAGTTCCTGAGCTTGCTCGGAAGAAATACGGTCTGCACCGTAAGTTGTGAGAGCAATGAGCAGCTTGTCGGCCTTGATGAATCCCGGGGCAGAGGCATTACCTTCGAACGCCTTAAACGCATTCTTAACTTGCTCTGCCGTGTACGTGGCGTTGACTTTTCTCGACATGACTGCCACAAACTCATCGAAGTCTATCTCTCCGTTACTGTCTTGGTCAATCTCATTTATCATGAGGTCTATTTCTTCCGGGGACGTGTCAATACCCAGCGTGTCCATCAGTTCTCCCAGCTCAACTTTCGTGATGGAGCCACCACGGTCCTGCAGAAGCAATCACAAAATAAGTGAATCGAGCTGACAAGGCAACAAGCATGTGAGCTTACTCGATCAACGAGGTTGAAGATCTCTCGGAACTCGATGAGTTCCTCGGAGGTTAACGCATGACTCATGGCTGCAAAAAACTGAAAATGGGTACCATTGCAGTACAGAAGCAGTAGACGCACAATCCCATTTCAACAGCACACTTAATTATGGATTTGGGGGTAAAATAAAAATAGTTGAAAAAGCCACTCGTTCCTTTGCACATAATTTTGATCGTATATGTCATGGAAGGAAACAACAACGTGTTTTTTCTCGAATTAAACTTATAATTTCGTGGCCTTTTCAGACTGGATGTTGGCTAAACGCCAACGCCACCATTCTGCTACATCCGCAAGCGAAGCCTCTGCTCGTTTCGCAGCAGCGTTGGCCTCTTTGCCTCGCCGTTTCCATCGTTTCATTCGAAATGACTGCAGAGTTTCAATTTCATTCAGCTGCAGCGTTGTCTGGTCCATAGCTTTCGCAATTTCTTTCATCTGCAGCTCAAGCCCGCCTATGTCACCTCCTTTTGTTGAGGACATCAGATACTCACGAGCACGTCTGGTAGCCGGTGTGTAAGCATTTTCCAGCTTATTTAAAACGGTATCATCCAGTCCTAACAGACCCCGGAGCTCCTGCGAACGCCAATCTTCTCGCATCATTTGCATCCACTCCGATGAGCGTATATCGGCACGAGACTCAGCTGCAGCAAGTATTCTGCCGCATGCAGCAGCTCGAATAGCAAGCTGGTGCTTCTGGAAGTGACGCATCATTGAGCGCTGTACTGCTCTACGCTCCTCTAAAACGTCCGCACGACACCTCCGCTGCACTGGAAAGGCTGAGCTCGACACAGTAGATTTGTCGAAATTATCGCCTACCATGGAGAGCTTCTCCAGTGCTGTGTTATTGACGATTCCACTAAGTTCTTGTGATGCTTCAGTAGCGTTAGACTCACCCTCGGATAAAGATGTGGCTGTGCCATCCTTTCGAGACTTAAGCTCCGTTGTTAAAAACTCGAGACATAACGAGAGTGCGCCATTTTTCTTTCTAAACACTAAAAATCGTGAAGCTTGAGAGGCCAACTTTCTCCATCCACGCACACTAATCGCTATGACCTGGTGTTTGCACTCCTCTTCTTCTCTTTGTGTTGGTAGTGTGAGTCCTGTAAACTCTTTTTGTTGTTGCAGATTCAGCAGACGTTGCAGAAAGTGGTAATCGCAGTCGACGAAGTATGTACGTTGTGTCCTGACTTCACGATAAGAAAATACAAGCCCACGTGGATTGTCCGCATTGTCGAGTGCCACCTGAACTGCTTCCATCCTAAAACCTTCGTTCTTATCACAACCTAAACAAGGAATCTGTACGGCGTTCCCGTCAGCATCGTAGACGTCCAGTACATTCCGCAATATTCGTGGATTGTCAATGGATACCTGCCAGTTCACACTGTTGTTGTCGCTTTTGGGATGTAGCGCAAAAACGTTTTTCATACACTTGATGACGCTCGTATTACCGCAAAATTCTTGGCTACTCGGCTTTCCAAAAGATATTTCCAGTTGCCGGAATCCGACTTCAAATGTTGTGACAGTGCGTTTCTCCTTCGCTACAAGACCAGTGTCGCTCTTTAGAAAATTGATACACACGCCTTCAGTCACTCTACTCCGTTTTACTGTTTGTGATACACGAAGTCGTTCGATGGCGAACTGCTTCCAAGGCAGATACTTCGTCGAGCGAGCTCCACCTAGCCGTCTTATAGTCGTACCTTCTAGCGCGGGATCTTCGAACCTGGTCGCTAAAGCAGAGTAGATAGCTGAACAATCGAGCAGCCTTCGATACCAGTCGCAGTTCATCTGGAAGGGCCAAAACAAGGCAGGTCCACAAATATTTCCGCCGCCGGTAAGGGCTACACCGCGCGGGTTAAAGTGAGTCGATTGTTTCCAGGAGTTCGAATTACGTGTTGAATCTTGGTAGACGAGCACACCATAGGGAACTCGTTGACAGGTTAACTCGCCATGAGCAGTGGAGGTGTGACGCATACGCTGCAGTTGCTTCTGCTGTTGCTGAAAAAATGAACGTAAATGAGTGATCAACGTTTGCGCAAGTAGCTCGAATGGAGAGGCTTCCGATGGAGTCCATGGCTGCATATCAAGGAAAACTTCTTCGACGGCTTCGTTGACGTTGCTTGGGATTAATATCCCAGTCTTGACGAGACTATTTGATGACAAATCAGCTGGTAGAGCTAAGGAGTCTGCCACGGTTTGACGTTCCACTTGAACGTTAGCTTCCTCCAGCTTCGTGTCGTTTTCAAATACACTGATAGGACTGTAGATTGTTGTCTGGCGAGCAACGAAGTTGCAGAATTGTGAAATTTGTTTCTTGTGCATCCGAAGTGCTTCCAAATTTTTGTCTCGGTACGCAATTTTCTCCAATACCAACTCGAAGTTACCGAGTACTGGTTTCAACTGTAAGTCGAGTTTGTTCAAGCACACTTGAAGCAATTCCGGTGCAATTGCAAGAGGACACCACGAATCGAAGGGAACAGCCAGGAAAATGAACTCGTGTAGCCCAGTCGACGTGGTAGGAACCCATAAGCTAATACAATCCAATAACACCGAGTCGTTATCTTCTTGAAACATTTGCACAGCATTGGAAAGTGGTGCTTTGCTTGGGAAAAGTTCACAATATACCTCGGTCTGCGTAGTAACCAGCTGTAGCTCGGCATGAATACGACGCCACTGATCCATTTTCCTTGTTGCGGCTGTGTATAGATCGAATAGTGTCTTGTACGTGACCGAAATATTCAACTGAGCGGAGGTTATTAAATCTGAAATTTCAAGGCAAAGGGCGTCGCGATCCTCTTTCTCCATTCCTGCCCGTGTCTCTCGCTTCTTTCGTTCTTTCGTCTCTGCTTCCAGTTCCCCACGTACACGTCCGAACAACTTGTGTGCTTTTGTGAAGAAATCTATTCGCATAAACGGAAGCTGTTTTCTCCATGTTTGAGAAGAAGACGATGCTCCTGCAACAGCTTCAATCCAGTCCATCGTTCCAATAAATTCATTGTCAAGCTGAAAGGGAAGACGAGGATCCGCCATCAGTGTTAGTTGATCGAATTGCAAACTTGAAAAGACAGCTACGTCAATCATAGACGCTCTACGGGTTATTTCATCCTCAGGGACGGCACGAATCGGATTGCGAGGACTAGTTTCAATCCACCGATTCAAAATTCGGAAGCTTTCTCGTAAATGGAGACCAAACAGTAAAGGGGAAGTTCCAGATGTGACCATTTCAGGATGTTCCAGCAAACTCTGGAAGCGTAAACGGCTACAAATCCATTCGTAGAGTAAGGTTCTATTGCGACGAAGTAGCAGCGAAGACGAAGACGTGGCGAGATTGGCTTTTAACTGCGATAAATCGGGTAGAGAGCTGGTTTTAAGAGCGCGACGAAGTGCTTCGCGCTCCAGTAAAAGTTTGTACGTAAGTTCACTGCTCATATCGTATCCGGAAATCTGGAAATCTCCAGCGCTGTCCTCAACAATACTAACAAGAACCTGTCGCTTTTGCATCCGGATAACCGTTTGATAACGTTTCGAGCGCTGTTGTGCCGGGAGTGCGTGATCTATGCGTATATCCTCAGATCCATCTTCGAGCTGGGAGAATCTGACGTGCTTCAGCAGATAAACTAAAAGTGTTGACGAGTAGGAATTCGACTTGACACAACAGACCCAGAGCCGAAGCATTAGAGGCTTCTTGCTTAGGATATCAAATACCTCGCTGAGAGACATAACCAACCGAAAGAAGTCGCCACTTTTTGAGTGGTAGATGGCGAAGGTTAGATCTCCCCAGTTTTCATACACGACCACGACACAAAGTCTCCCATCGACAGACACTGCTTGGCGTAAAATCTCATCGCCTTGGCCACATTTACGCCCTCGTTGCAGATCTCGCATCACTCGACTGGAAAGAAATTGCGGAGACAATTGACGTAACGTATGGTAAAATTCTAGTTTCAGCAGCGTGAACTCTCCAGTAAAGCGATCCAGCGTAGCAAGTGATAAAAGCTTTTCCGCTATCGACTTCCAGGCGCTACGCTTCGATTGACTCGACTCTTTTCTCCCACTTGAACCAGTCAGAAGCTGCACGAGTTCCCATTCGAGAAAAATACTATGCACGGAACAGTCCACGGGATCGTATGCTGTAACCCAAATATCGCGTGTCGAGAGCGAAACCTGGCTACCTCGCTCACCGATTGGGGACATACTGACTGTTACTACCAAACGCCGAGTTCTGGTATTCTCTTCCGTTGAGTTCGATAGCACTAACGTACGTCTTCGCAAGTGATTCAGTCTTCGACGAAGCCCAGGGATATCGATCCGGAACGGAGCCAATTTATTCCATAACGGACTTTGGATAACGAGATTTCGGCGAGTTGGAGCCAAGTAACCATCACGTAGCGTCAAGAAGCGACTGCAAAGCTGCTCCATCACAGTTTCCATGCGCGTCCTAGTCGACGTTTCTAACAGAAGCGCTTCTTCCATACATCGATTTGCTCGTTCTGCTAAAGGAAGCCATACACGGTTGAATCGGTCTTGCGCTTCATCGGCTCCTGCTCGAGAGTATTGCTCGTTGTATGTGGCTTGGAAGTATGCGACGCGAAGACGCGCCACTTCTTGATAAATGTCTTCCAACCGTTTGGTTAACTGTCGTTTTTCAACAATAAATCTCCAATCGTTGGCGTTCTCGAGTGGATCCCAAGCTTGAGCTTCCGAGAACGGACGAGACGTAAAGTCGAGCGCTTTCTTTGCATTGCCTACAGCAACAACGTGAGCGTGCTTGGTAGTATCCAGTAACGTTAAGCTTTTCTCCAGCGTTATTAAAAGAAACTTTCGTATTTGCGTCGCCTCACTGTTCATTCGTCTCCAATTCGCAAGGTTCGTAGCTGCGGTCTCTGCGTTTTTACCACAAAATGTAGCGTAGCGCGAGGCTGTTGCTGCTTCTAGTTGTTTCAGCTCCATGTCCAGGATAAGTGGACAAAAACTAGGTGATGAAGAGTACGGGAATAGTGCTTGTGACGACAAAAGCTGCTGTAGCTGGGCTGTTTCTAGTCGGAGTCGATAAATCACGTTATGAGACGAGCTGTACGCACGAATCAACCAGCTCTCGCGCTTCATTTCGTCGGGTAAGATACTCCCACCGTTCAAATGACACGTGCAAACTCCACGATATACTGCAAATTTGTTTCCACCAGCCTGATAATGCGCCTTAACGTGAAATCTCCTCGCGCAGCTCGTACAACAAGAGGATGGCAACACGGATTTCCTTGTGGTCGAAGCACGTCCACCGAAGTTGTAGCCAACCTGGTAATGTCTAAGAGAGTGGAAAGATACAATCACGGGCTCCCCATCCATCACAACTGCGCGCGAGTAAACTGGCGTACAGGTTTTCTTGTACGCACGACGAACCGCTGCTGTGCGTACAGTGTCATAACACGAGTTTGCCACGGCAGCCACCTGGTTGAAGTAAAATACGCGTAATTTACATGCTAGGCGGAGCGCTCTCCTCGTCGCTCGTGCCCTCTGCCTGCCAAGAACACCTCGAAACCAGCGCTGTACTACCAGCGACATGGTACACCATATATCGTATCGTCGCAGTCTTTTGGTAGCATTGTTGACCTCCAGTTGCACCACATCTCCGCGTACCTGTTGGCCTGCGGCAATGAGCTCCGTAAAATGTGTACGAGAGCGAACAAAATAAAGCGGAACCTGGTTCTGCTGGCGCAAAGCTGCTAGAACTTGTTGTCGCTTTTGCACCATTTCTTTGCCGGATTTCTCCAGCTTCTCTTCGAACAAAAAATGTTGTTGATGTGTTCCTCGGACCACTAAGCCAGCCCATTCGCCAGCATCAGGACGACACCACACATTTGGCTGACGCAAAGCTAGTAGCGGTCTCTCCTGCTGAATCTTCAGTGCAGCGCAATGATCCCAATATAACGCTTCTACCAGTCGATACTGCGGGACTGAAGACTCTTGCTTAGACGTCGTTAGCGACGAATCTCTAGCTCCGGGTTTTGGAATCGAATCCATCATCTCTGATTGATAAATCTGCAGCTCTTGCAAGAAAATCTGCTGAGCCCTAAGAATCCGATCTCGACCCAGAGCTTCTTCATCGATGTCGTTAATATCGGAGACGGTAGCACCAAGACGAGGAGCTGTGGGTGTCGGGAATGTTGTGAACACCGCGAGATTTGGATCCTGGATGGGCGTCTTGGGTAATAGGAAAACATTGCCGTGCATCGGAAACGCGTCGTCATCCCCACCACGTCCACTGTTTAACGCTGTCTTAAGTGGCAAGACTTCATCTAAAAAATCCAGATCGTTTGCCATCTTCATGATGTAGTTAACCCCCGTACCGTAGAAGAACGGAGGTATCCAATCATCTGCAGCAGAAGACAACGACGCCAGTTGTTTGGTCTTGCACTCGATGCAGAAACTCGGACCGTTCTTTTCACTTTCCACTGCAAAATGTTTGCCACATGACCGGAAAACATTTCGTCGGTGTGGTAAATGTTCGACTGTGGTGTTCAGTCGACGAGCCTCCGACGCCGCGTGTTCGTCGTATGCACGTTCAGCTTCCTCTTGCGTCTCGAAATATCCCAAGTACACGATATGTTGCTCACGTTTTCCAGTGATGTCTTCACTGCGACGGAACCGCTTAACTTTCGACACGAAGGCACTGGTTCCCTTATATAGCTGCTTCCCCGTGTCTAACGTTATAGATGCTGACCATCCAAGCAGTGGAGCCTCGGTCTCTGGTTGACTTGGAGCCTCGCTACACGTCGTAGTGGGGTTATTTTGCCTCCTTGGCTGGCTGTCGTAGCGTGCAAACCCAATCTTCCGAGCGTGTTGTCGCCACCGATCGATAGTTTCCAGAACTCGAACAGTTAAAAAGCGGACTCGGTTCAATTCTGCTAGGAGGTTTATCTTGGATTTTTCCGTTTCTGCTCGCAAGTTTTGCTGGAATTTAATCATACACTTGCGACTCAGATGATGCACGCGTTCCATCTGAGCTTCTCGCTCGATGATCACTGCTAACACGTTTTTCTCCAGCCACGACTCTTTGGTCTGCACCCACACGGTCATTTCTCGTTTTTCCTCAAATGAAATATAGTAGTGACGCTGTAAACATCCTAGTCCGATACCTTTCTTGGCAGGTTCATTCGTTGCCATGTTCTTTCTTCTAGAACACCGTGAGAGTAGCACCCATTCTCGACACAAAGGTGCATCCACTTGAGGTCGAGACTCAACCAGGTCCCTGTCATCCGAAACTACTCGAGATTCTTGAGTCATCACGCTACTACCGTCAATTCTCACGTTGGATTCGTCATCGGCGCCTCGTGTTGCCAACATTCTTCGGTTTCTTTCAATGGATTCGTTCATACTCAGCCACGATCCAACTCGCTGCATTGACTTAAAATCAAGTTCGTCCTTCTCGATAGCTTCAAGTCCACTCGGCAAGATGTGCGTCTTCGACTTGTCTTCCTTTGTGCAGTGCTCTTCCTTAGTAATGCTATCCATAGACCTTGCTGATTGAGGTCGTGTTGATTGGCCTCCGTATAATGTCTGCCCAAGGGATGAAGCCACCGGAACGCACTTCCGGAAGAGCTCCACACCTGCAGATGATTTGAACTTCCGAACTCGATTGTGAACTCCACTTGCGACGTATTTTCCGTTCAGATGACCAGTACCAGCTCCTGTTACCGTCCACGTCTGTATTCCAGACTTCACTGACGTTAACTCTGGAGCGGGAGGTGTGCCATGCACGGAATAACATATCCAGCCAGTGGTAGGTGGACTGTCGTTATTCAACGCATGCTGCCATTGCTCTTCAGTCTCCACACGTTTGGTATTGACGTCGGACGCAGCAATATAATACACAACGAACATTGAGAGTTCTTTTTCGTTGTTAATCACAGTGTCCGTCGTTTCATTCCGAGGTGTGAACGTCAGCTTCGTCGACGGAGAAGCCAAGACCCATATCCATTCGTGCTGCTTTGTACAGAAAGGTGACGAAGGCAACAACGTCAAAAGGTTTCTAGGTACAGGAGTGGATCGTAGTTCTCGGTACGGATCTTGCAGCAACGCCTTCATCTGTCGAGCTGTTTCGCGTTGTCGGTCTGCGTCTTGCTGGGCTTTTTCAGCCTGTTGCTTCAGATTCATCACCTCTTGATACCTCGACGTGCGCTCCTCGAACCGCCAGCCATTTTCATTTTGTGAGTACGCTACCATCCGCTTCCGAGCTTCTTCGCTTAATTGCTGCGCCTCTTTAGTTGCAGATGCAACAGCTAACTCCGTGGTGGTCACAGTATCTGCGTCTCGAGTGTAAATGTCTCTCGTGGCTGTGCGATGAATCACGTTCTCCACCTCGAGAAACGGATCTTTTGGTGGTGCGTTTGCCACGCGAGTACCTTCAATACGTTGTAGTAGCGGGAACTTCATGCGAGCTGTAGACGACGAAGGGTCTGTAGTTGCCGCAGTGTTTTTTGGACTGGATTTCACAACAGGAAGGTGAACAGTACGCTCGGAAGATGTCAATTCGCGTCTTGCCTCAAGTCTGGCGCGGATTGTTGCCATTTGATTCTCGAACCCTTCCATCTTTCGCTTGAGAGCACCGATAGCTTGTTTCCTTAGCGGTTTAAAGAGAACATCGCGGTTTTCACATCGGTCCTCTCCAAGTACAGAGAGCTCCCGATTCGATCGTCGCGACTCGTCGTCCATCGACAGCTCATTCCGCACCGGACTCGATGACTTTTTATCGGAACAATATCTTTCAACACTTTCATTTTTTCCATTTTGCTTTTTTTAAATCTATTTCAGTCTTGCATAAAACTCATGGAGCCGATTGATTGACAATAATCAACAAGAGACACAAGCCCGGCCCCAATTCTTGAAAGGGGGCCACACTTGCAGGGGAGCTGGGCTCTCGAAGATAGAGGGCTCCTTAGCAAATCGGGAGCTTAGGATAAAGAGCTATACAAGTGAAGTTCGAGCACGATCTATGATGACGGCGATTACAGCAAGAACCTTTTTCATTGTGAGTCAGTTACACCAGCCGAGAATATTTTGCTAAACGGAGATATTTGCAATTTGGCTTTACTGATGTACGAAGTACGAGATAACCATTTTTTCAAGCTTGCAAGAACTTAATGGGCTAAGCCCGGCCGCTATTTTGAGTCATAAATATTGTCTTCAATACATGAGGCGGACAAACGGTTGCGATGCCCAGCTCTGAAGTGGGTGGAGTCCGACAAACATCAGGGCAACGAAGACGGAGAACTCGTGTCCTCCAAATGCCTGCGATACGAGTCATCATGATTGTTTGGATAGCTGTTGGTGCGGGGCCGTTCGTCCTTCAGCTACGGGGTTTTGCAAAATTCGTAACTCCACACAAAATAACAGAAAATCTGGTCACTTCTGCTACAAGAAAAAACAGATTTGTTCAAGTTGTGTCCAGCGACTGCAATGGTCATTGCCGGAGCTCGATGGAACGCATGCCCCACTCACTACTACCGTATCAAGAACGGAGTTCGTTGCCATATTGTTGTCCCACAATACAACGCACATGCCAATTATATTGTCAAGAACTATACTGTCACGCCGCATTATACAACTCCATCTAGCTGTGCTGACCAAAGTTTCCCATTCGAGGGCAATTTCTACCATGGTAGCATTGGATACTACTCCATCTACGCCGAGGCATCAGGAACATTATGCATCTTAGACAACACAGCGTACATACGAGTAAACGAAGTCGGAACGTACGATACCAATGGTAGCAGCCTCGCTAACGACAGAGTAGCATACGGATACCGGAAATCGTACTGGTATATCCTAACCGGTGTCGCATTCATCCTTGTCAGATGTGTCACCCTGCGAAGAAGCTACGTGTCCTGTAGAATATTTGCGAAGCGATGTGACAGCGTCGTCGAACCGATTCGAATACAAGAAGCCGTAGTGTATGTCCAAGAGAGTATGCGGTTATCCGCACATGGAGCGAGGAATTTCCATCGATTTCTTCTGCTCTTCCTCCTCATTGACCAAGGTGACATGAGCGATTTCTTCCTCCTGAGTACACAAGAAGGCTTGTTTGGACGAATCCAATCCATATCACTTGGATACAACTTGGCTGGTGTTATGTCCATGTTGTTTGAAATGGTGGAGACAATGAACTGGATGAGTGAGAAGATGCGCTGCCAAGCCAAAAGATTGCTCTTTAACTACGAGACAGTTCTCGTCGGCGAATTGATCACAGCTGGAGTGTTGCAACACTATCTGACGTCCTTAAGCCGGTCGCATTTACAGGACACAGAGCCAGCGGCAGAAGTGGTCTCTCATTACGTGATGGGACTCGTGGGTCATATTGTGCTGGCGGCTGGTTGTCTGAGTATCATCGTTGCCACAAGAGTCATCGGAGCCATCTTGTTTGTGAAATTACAGTTCGGTACTCTCCAGGTTTTGACGAAAATGTGCTCGGTCGATGCTGCACTGGGAGCAAGGAGTAAGCTGATTCTGCTGAGTGGCTACATTTGGGAAAACGACGAACTGTACTACAAACCCAGTGTACTGAAAGCGCTTGGGGTCTTGAAAGCCGTTTATCCCGATGGCTTTGAGTGCTTCGTGCACACGCAGCTACACTGGATTGCCATTCCACAAGACAATCTTGTTGTTATAGGAACTGTGGTGGATAGAAAGGTGGAGCCATGTCCAGAGCGTCATTGTTCGGGTATCGTGAGCTTATTTGACCACACACTGGGCGGCCCCGCAGTGGATTCGGATAGTGTCGATAGCAATGTGGATGTCTTGAGAGCTTGTGCATCAGGTGCCAGTATCTTCAAATGTTTCAGAGAACATATTGGTTGTACCTCTGAGATCACTCCAGCACCAACACCTTCGAAGGTCAAAGTTCGAGCTTTGAACGATGAGCGGATTACTCGCCATATTTTGCCTGCATGGGAAGCATTAAGCCACGATTCATCTGCGGTATCAAGGAATCCGCAGCTAGCGCTTATTGAGACCAAAAGTCGTCTAAGTTATAACGCGTCATACGCACCGGAGTCATTCCACTGCTAAAGTTGAGTCCGACAGATTGGGTACTTGTACTAAGTATCATTTCATGAGCGACGGCTTTCCGTCGCCGAATAATTTTGAGAAAATGAAACCTTCATCTACGTGGCACATGAATACTCGGCTGGGAGGAAGCACAACGTCACGTCAGAACGGCTTTACATTCGTACTCAAGTAACACTAAGGTACTACTGTACACTGCAGTAGGAGATTTACCTCTCTCCAGCGGCGATACACTTGGCCTCGAATCGGGTGTTGCTGTCGTCGTCAAGCTCGACTTTCTTCTCTAGTTTGTAACTATGACAATTCTGATTAGAAAGCAAGGTATGACAGGGTGAAGGTGTTAAAATTGTACCTTTCTCTTGGGAGTATTGGTGGTGGCGGTATTCGAAGCAAAATTCGTTTTGAGACTTGGCTAGTCCACGACGAAGGCAGATACTCAGCGTGTTCCCATTGTGCCCTTGTGCTCTCTGTCACGTCAAGCACCATTCGCACTCGGCATCAGCGCACTCGACATTTACATCCTGGATATAGGGTTTGCACGTACTTGCCGTCTCCTTAGCTGCAAAAACTATCGGCGAGTGATGCCGGATAAACTGTTTCAAAAAAATAAATACTTGTTCGGAAAGCGCTAGCCCCTCGCCGACACTCTTCGCTGTCATCTGTAGTGACGATTCACATTAGAAGTTTACATTCTATTTCATTTCACTGCAATTTATCATACCTTGTCAATGGCATGGAATGACCCCACGCAGTTGAACACCAGCATCAAAGCTGTAATCAGACCCACCACCAAAATATTAGCGACCCTCCTCCAACCTCCACTCCCACTGTAACTCACGTGCTGGAGCTGCTTCTAGTAATTGAAAGTGAATGTGATTCAGCGTTGCCAGCCACTGGAACGAGTCTCGACAGCAGCAGGTCTGCACTCTAGCCAGTGCCCCCTCCAACGCATTCTCCCACTTGCTCCCAGCCAATTTATGGGCCACTAGTTTCGCCAACCGCGTTGAAGACAATTCACCTTCATGGTCGAAGATAAAAACGCGTTCTTTCCCTGCCTGGTCACTCGTTGCTGCGCTTTTAGTCAGAAAAGCTGCCACGACATGCTCCAGCACTTGAGTCTTGGGAGTGTCACTCGCCCCACAGAGCTCTACAACTTGTCGTGGTCGATATCCAGTTTCTCCTACATTAGGTTTTGTTGTAGCCGCGTCGATAAAGTTTAAACCCGTCGAGAAGCTGCGAGTCGGCCTCCGTGCGAACAAGTCCAGCGCTGTCTCATCCAACTTCAGCCGCTGCATTATTGACGCAAGACTCAAATACAGCAAATGTAGCCATGAATCAAATTTTGATCGATACAAATGCCAAACTGACCATCACTCGTTCAAGCGACAATCGTCTTCGCGCGACATTAAATCTGACCTGGTCAGTTGGCAAAATGGCGCCTACCCAACAAGACAGTATGATGCTGGCTTCTACGCCACTCAAGAGCGCTCTACAGAGCCCCACAGGGGCCACGGAGGAGCCCGCATCGTCTTTATGCGAAGATATGTCCCTTAGCAAGCCGATACTACCCCTTGTGCCCACTACCGACGTGTCTTCACTGCAAAATAAGGCTCGATTGGAGCACGTCGACTTCGCCGCTCTGTACCAGCGATCTTCGCGCGACACAGAGGTCTTTGCGACGCTACAGGGGTTGGAAAAAGAATTAGAAGAGGTCAAAGCTCAACGCAGGACGCAGAGCCAAAATCAGAGCTCGACAGCAGAAGTACCAGCTTTGCGATTCGCCCCGGACCAGCTACAGCAGCTTCTGACGACGCAGGAGGCCGGAGGTGCAGAGAACGCTGCAGGAAAGGAGCATTCTATGCACCTTCATCCTGCTAGAAGCGCAGAGGCTAAGGGAAAGCCGATGCGTCGCTTCCTGGTGTCGTCTACCACGCCGTTCGTCATGATGGCAGCCACGGGTGGAAGAAGTGGTGCACTCGCCGACTCGGATGAGGAAACTGACGCGCAGTACCACAAAGTGCAGCAGCTTCGATGGGAGGAGAATATTATTTGGGGTATCGACTTCAACGCTGATTCTAAACGAGAAGATGAGGAAGACAGAGGTGTGGAAGTGGAGGACTCGGTCGGAGGAGTCACCGTAGCTCAAGAGAAGAGGGCTCCAGTAAAAGGTAATAGATGGACGAAAGTCTCAGAGAAGAGTGATGGTGGATTCCAGACGTACAAGCAGCTACGCGCGGCGAGAGGACAGGAGACGCCTGTGTCGACCATCAGTGGGGAGAACTTTGACATGACGAAGCCCAGGAATTACCGTTGGGAGCTAGAGGATTCATCAAAAGAAAAGAAGCAAGACGAGAAGGCTCAGGAAAATGAGATGCCAACGCTCCCATGTCCACTGAATAAGCAGCTACAGGACGACTCGTGGGTGACTGCTATTGGGTGGAAATCGACCCAGGACATGCCCGAAAGCAAACTTGTGCTGGATGACAACGATGCGTCGCTCATTTATTCGGTCCCGGAGATGGAAGATGTGCGTCCGACCTTGCGTATTCCTGAACGAAAGCTGGGAGCTGCTGAGCAGCGTCTGGCGCAGCTTGACAAGCAGCGGATTGAGAAGAAACAGCGTATTGACGAAGTAATGGGCAACCTTGAGTTCGGCGAGGAGACGGCTGAAGGTCGATTGGGTACCGAAGGAAGTGGCAAGAAGTCGAAGGACACTCGTGTGGTGAAGAACATTGGCTATGTGCACCACTCGCTGCCAGCTATGAAGCTTTCGCTCACGAAGCCAGAACTCCCCAAGACAAAACTGCGCGACTTTCACCGACCGCGCGGTAAGTTCAAAATCAACGAACGGCTGGAGTTCTTGCCACCGCCTCCAGGTGCTGCGAAAATGGCTCCACAAGAGGAAAGTGCCATGGTTACACAGATAAAGAAAAGTTCCGACTTGAATCCGACTGCTGGCGGGAAGTTAATTCTGATCGAGTACACAGAACAGCGCCCGCCGATGCTGTCAAACCCGGGCATGGCGTCTCGAATCCTCCACTACTGGCGACCTCCAGAGGATACATCGGCTGGGTTGGGAATTCTGGGTAAGAAGAAGGCTCGCAAGACACGTCCAAAGCCACCAGATATGAAGATGGGCCAAGTCATTACGCTTGGCGACCACGATGAGTCTCCATTTGTCGGTGACATTCCTCCGGGACGAGTAGTGACGTCTCTTAACTCGAAGCTCTACAAGGTGCCACTTTTTCCGCACAAGCCGACGATTCCGTTTGCTGCAAGTCCGGATGCACGCGAGCGCAACAACTCGGATATCTTTTTGATGTGTCGCTCGATCACGAAGGGTAAGAAGGGAGCTGCAGCAGACAAATCGGGCGGTCTTGGAGTTCCGAAGACTACGGTATACATCATGGAGCTGCCTGAGGTCTTCGTCGCAGGCCAAATTGAGCCTCAAATCGAAGTCCCAGCGCCGAACTCTCGAAGTGCCAACGAGTTTATCCGCCCGTACATGTCGTTTCACATTCTTCGTCTATTCAAGAAAGCGAGCGATGGAGAACGACTTAAGATCGAGGACATTGCGCGTGCATTCCCGAATCAGTCGGGTACCGCTATCCGTAAGCGAATGAAGGAGGTGGCTACATTTGAGCGTGGCGGTAATGATTCAGGTTGGTGGAAGAAGAAACCGGTTTCGCAGCTGCAGAGCGAGGAAGAGATCCGTGCTAGCATCCCGCCTGAGAGCGTCTGTCTTTACGAGAGTATGATGTCTGGTCACAGACGGCTACTCGATATCGGACTGACCAAGCTCTTCACCCCTTCTGGCGTGAATGGAGCCATCAACCATTTGATCCGACGTCTGGAACTGCGCAAGAATGCATTGTCGACACGTCTTGTGCCTGCCAATCTCGAGAGACGAGCACGGGAGAAGACTCAGGCGGAACTCTGGAAGAAGGACCCGGTGGTGCGCAAGCTCGAGAAAGATATTCAAGTCGCTCGTTATATTAACGAGCAGCTGCAGCTTACGCCTTGGAACTTGACGAACAATTACGTCGAGTGCCATCTACAAGGTAAAGGCTCTGGCATGCTGCAACTTGGTGGCATTGGTGACCCCACCGGTCGTGGTGAAGGCTTTAGCTTCGTCCGTGTGCCTCAGTCCCGCGCCAAGAAGAAAGACGGAGAGGAAGATGCAGCTCCGACAGCTGAGAGCAAGATTAGTGCGGAGACTGCAGCGGTGCAAAAAGCCGTGGCTGCTGTCACCGGTACGACTGCTGATTTGCGTAAGCTGAAGATGAAAGAGGCAGGTGATGTGCTGCGCAATCTGGGTCTGGCTGACGCGGATATCAAGAAACTTCGCCGTTGGGATCGAATTCATATGGTGCGTGAACTCAGTAGTCGTGCTACAGCCCACGGTGTGGCTGGTAGTTTGAGCAAATTCGCTCGTGGCGCGCGTAAGTCGCTTTCTGCGCAGCAGCAAGAGTACCGCAAGAAGTGTGACGTGATCTACGAGCGTCAAATGGATGTGCTGAGCTCCACGAAGACGACATTTTCGTCGGATGAAGAGTCTGATGGCGATGACGAGCTGGACGAACTGGGTGCGGATGTCGAGGCTGACATCTTGGGAGGCACAGATACTAAACGCGGCCCGAAGAATTTGTTCCGTAGTGGTGGTGGAGGTCTCAACCGCTCCAAGGAAGTGCTTGCAGAGCGGGAAGACGCTGTGGAGCTGCGTCGCCTGATGGAAGAGATGAACGAAGACACTGGAACCAGTGCGAACGCCAAACCGACGAGTGCTGTGCGTCGTCCTGATGTGGACACCAACGGCTTGCGTAACCAGCTGCGTGCAAGTGGAATTAAAGAGGGTGGCACTGGGGCGAGTGGCATTTCTTCAGCCTCGGGCTTCGGGGCACGATCCAACATGATGTCTCGTGGCGGCTCAACCGTGTCGTCTGCGCTGGCAACACCCACGGGTCAGCTGTCTCGAGTGTCCTCACCAACGCATGGCAGTCGCACACCAGTCCCGTCGGAGCCACCAAGTGCGTCAAAGAAAATTCCCGGCCGCAAGGTGCTAAAGCGTGTCGTGCGGACTATTGAAGAGGACGGCAGCGAGAATGTCCGCGTCCAGTTTATCGTGGATGATAAACTGGTAGCCCGATTCCGCGCGATGCAGCAGCGCAAGGACCGTCAACAGAAGTCTGATGAGCGCAACCAGCTTCGGAAGCGTAAACGCATGCTCGCATTGGAGGATGACGGGAGTTTGCTGGACAAGGCTAAGAGACGCAAACAGCTGCAAGAAGAACTGAAGCAACTGGCGAAGACTGAGGCGCAGAACAAAGGATACCAAGAAATGCTGAAGAAGGGCGAGTCTGCGGATGGCGCTGATGGCGACGACGCTGACGATGGGAGTGGGAAGGGGGTTATTCGCTGTACGCAGTGTCTACAGGTTGGGCACATGCGCACCAACCGCAGTTGTCCGCTGTACATGGCTGATGAAGTTCGTTCAAAGAAGTCGGGGGCTTTTTCTGAGAAGCAAGCGAACGCTATGCTCGCGGAACCTTTGAAGCTCAAGATGAAGAAGTCTCCGTCGGTCATCACCGGTGGCGACTCGAGTACCAAGATCACCGTGAACCTGGCGGAGCTGCGTGAGGGTGCACGCAAGCACAACGCAGAAAAGAAGCGCAAGCGAGAAATGGAGGTGCGTGAGCAGGCAGAGCTGTACAAGAGACCCTATGCGAAGGGCGCCATCAAGCAGAGTCGCTCGCGTATGCCCGTGGAGCACGTCAATAACGCTCTGGAGATGGTTGTGCAACGGCTGCTCGAAATGCCGGAGAGCGAACTCTTCCGCGTGCCGGTGGATGCCAGCAGTGTCCAGAATTACTACCAGATTGTCAAGCAGCCTATGGATCTGAGCACGATTCAGCGCAAGATTGAGGCCAAGGAGTACGACTCGATGCGTGAGTTTGTCAAGGACCTGGAGCTGATCGTCAACAACTCGCGCATCTTCAACGGCGACCCGGCCAAGTCGGTCATCACGGCCAACGCTCAAAAGGTGCTGCGTCGCGCTCAGGACGAGATGGCAGTGCTCAATGCAGAGGGCGGTACCCCGACCACGCCCACCACAGCAACAATAGCCATGCTGAATTAAACAAACGCAGGCGACGAAGAAGAAATGATACATACTTCGTAGCAAACACGACAGAAAAAAATGTAGCGGCAGTATTATTTGTTGACGGCTGCTGTGAAGTCGACGAAACACCTCGTAAGACTTGGCTTTGGTCCCTCCATGACGAGTGAAATGGTAAATCCTTTGTAGATATGTGTAGAATAGGCTCGCAGGTAAAAGTATTTACATATATTATGTTTCGTACGCGAATCTGTAGAATATCTTTTTCACTACAAAGAAATGACGAAAGCTTCTCTATCCTCCGCGGCTTCGCTTGTTCGCGTGGCACGGGCTTCGGATCGCGTGTACCGTGACGAGTGCATTTTCTCCTTCGACTCCGCTCTCTCCCCCTCGGGTCTCTACACGAACCTGCGCTCCTTCCTCTCGTACGGAGCCTCGTATCTTGTGTTCGATCGCAGCGAAACTCCGGCCGTCTACCTGCACCAGCAGCACACACGCAAGCCTAAGGCTTCATCCTCTTCAAGTACCGAAGAAATCCCCACAAAGCTCGCTATTGGTGGCGCTGGGGGCTTCGCAGCGTCCGTAAAAGACAAATTCGAGCTTGAAAAGACTTTCTATATCGTTTCACTGGGCCCAGACCAGCATGAACTCGCCCGGGAAGCTCTAGACTCCCCCAGTCTCCCGTCTAAGCTCAAAGAAGCAGCCGAGGCTGTGCTCAGTCACGCGGGGAACACGGTAACCGAAGAAGTAGCGTCCTGGCAGGAGGAACTCGAGCCTACCAAGTACGCCGAACACCTCATTCAAGTCCCGAACCCACCGCACATTGCGTCGAACCCTTCGGCGTGGAAATGTCAAGCAGCAGACTGTGATAAGCAGGAGAACTTGTGGCTCAACTTGTCAGATGGCTACATTGGTTGTGGTCGTCAGAACTGGGACGGATCTGGAGGTTGTGGGGCAGCATTGACCCATTTCAGTGAGACTGGAGGAATTTACCCATTATCCGTGAAATTGGGCACAATTACAGCTGAAGGGGGAGACGTGTACAGCTACGCACCGGACGAAGATGATATGGTTAAGAACTCCTTGTTACCGAACCATTTGGAGCACTTTGGCATCAATGTTAACAACTTGAAGAAGACGGACAAGTCGATGAATGAGCTGCAAGTGGGACTGAATTTGTCGTACGAGTTTGACGCAGTTACCGAAGCTGGTATGAAGCTGGTACCGGTTTCAGGTGCGGGATATATGGGGTTCAAGAATCTGGGCAATAGCTGCTACATGAACTCGGTGCTGCAGCTGCTTCTGGCACTCCCTGAGGTGCAGGAGCGGTATTTTAAGGTGTCGAAGAAGATTTTCTCGACTGCAGACACGCTGCCAGTGGACGATTTCGCTGCTCAGTTCGCTAAACTCACGTGTGCGACGTTGACGGATCGCTACAAGAAGCAGTTTGTGACGCCGAAGAACAGCAACAAGGAGATCGAAGAGGATGAGATCCATAATGTCGATCTCAGACCAATCACGTTCCGTGGTCTTGTGGGGAAAGGCCATCCCGATTTCTCTACGGGACAGCAGCAAGATGCAGTGGAGTATCTCCAGCATTTGCTGGATTTTATGACTCGAGCTGAGCGTGTCGGTGCGAGTCGCTTGGGGCCGCTTCTTCCTGGAGATAGCGCGACGAGTGCGGAGCTGCCAACTGCAAGCTTGTTCAAGTTTAAACTGGAAGACCGGGTGCAGTGCATGGCGTCGAATAAGGTGAAGTATGTGCCACGTGATGACATGCTTCTTCAATTGCAAATTCCCCTCGAGGCAGCAACCAATGCCACCCAAGTGAACGCTTACCAGGTGCTTGAACAGAAGCGCCAGCGTCTTGGAGACGAGAAGAGAGAAAAGAGTGAGAAGGAAGGAGAAGAACGCGTCGTGCCTAATGTCCCGTTTGAAGCGTGTGTTGAAAAGACGCTGGCACCGGAAGTTATTGAAGACTTCTTGTCCCCTGCTACTGGCAAGAAGGGTCAAGCACAGAAGACGGTTCGCTTCCGCTCCTTTCCGCGCTACTTGCTCGTGCAAATGAGACGCTTTTACGTAGCTGAAGACTGGACGCCTAAGAAGCTGGAAGTTGAAGTGAAGGTGCCAGAACATTTTTCTCTCAGTCGGTTCATCTCAAAGGGTCTCGTCGACGGCGAAGAGGAACTACCCGAGGCGTCTACTGCAAGTGGAACGACTGAGAGCAGTGCTAGTGCTTCAGTAGATGCCGACGAAGTCCTCGTGGCCCAGTTGGTGTCCATGGGGTTCTCGGAGAATGGATGTAAACGTGCTGCTATCGCCACTGGCAACTCCAACGCTGAAGCTGCGATGGAGTGGATCTTTAGCCACATGGAAGACCCGGATTTTAACGACCCTCCTGCCTCGGCAGATGCCGCTGTGAAGGATGAAGATGACGCCGTTAACATGGAGCACGTGTCTAATCTAATGGCGATGGGCTTCGGTGAGCCGCACGCCAAGTGTGCTCTCAAGCAGACCGACAACAACCCGGACCGCGCCGCTCAGTGGCTGTTCAGTCACATGGACGATCTGGACGGTGCTGTGGCTCAATGTGAGAGCGAATCAGCGGTGTCAAGTGGTGATTCGGGATCTTCTGTGATGCGTTTGGATAGCGAGAGTACTGGAGACTATTCTCTTGTGGGCTTTGTTAGCCACGTGGGCAAGAACACCAACTCGGGACATTACGTGTGTCACATGAAGAAGGATGGTCGCTGGATTATCTTTAATGATGACAAGGTGGCTGTGTCGGAGGAACCTCCTCTTGGCGCTGGATATTTGTACCTGTTCCGACGCGCAGATGCTTAGACATAAAGTGCAGAGTAGTGTGGTACTGTATCGCTAACACGTCGCAACGACCTTTTTACGATCTCAGTTCTGGGTTTGTCTGGATTTAGGCATGTCAAACTGACGAAAGTTGCAATGTGTAGACTAGCACAGACCGCAACACATGCGCGTTTGAGGAATTAACGATTGACAATTAGTGAAAAAGGATACAATGACGAAGCAGCCTTCACTGTTCAGGAGCATGTTACTGTGGTCTATTTTCGCTCATTCCACCGTCACGTCGCCCACGGTGGTCGTGGGCTATAACTCGTATGACAGGTCGAGAAGGAGTAGGGAGAGGAAGAAGACGTTACTTGTAGGCGTCAAAAGACGAAGTGAGTACTTTATTAGTATTAGGAAGCCACCAATAACTGTACACCAGCCATTAGTGTCTGTATAGTTTAAGCCAGTCATATCGACTTAAACAGGACCTCCTAAATCTCATTATAATATTTTGGAGTGACTAGGTCAAGGTAATCAAACTGTTTAGAGGATGGGCGACTGCGATGTACGGTTCGCTCCTATCCAGTCTGTGACAGACTCTGTCTCCAGGAGTCACGGCTTTGCTGCTAGCTGTACAGTATTTGCGACACTGTAACTATTACAGTGGTTCATTATGTTTATAAAAATGCAGTACATACTTGTAATTGTACTGTGCATTTGCAGTGAGCAAATTACGGCGTACTATATTACAGTACGAAGTATTAAATGACAGAACATGCCAAACACATGCATTTACTGTTTCAGCACACAGCAAATCATTTGACTTGACTTTTGTATTGTTTTGACCTTCTGAGTGTCGCAATAAGACATAATCGACGATTTGAGGTCACAGCAGAAAAGGGACCAGCCGCGCTTCGCTTGACTGGACGCCCCTTCGGCGCCCCCGCGGTTCGCTGCGCTTGCAATATGGAGATAGAATGTTCTGGGAAGTGTAGTGCTCGGCTCGCTGGTGAGCTCAGCGCTGGGCCCGCCTCCGCAAATACCGCGCGGCCCTGCTTCGCGGGCTCTCCGCGCGGGTTTGCTGCAGCTACGCGCCTCGCACCCGCTCACCTTAGTTGGCGCCGCGGCTATGGCACCCACGTCGCCCAGCCCCGTGTGTACTATCCCAGCGATGGGCGTGTGTTTCTCCTATTTTCTCGTATTAAATGAGCAATTACTGAAGTGCTTTGAAAGTACACCTGCAGAAACAGAACACCGTAAACCAGTTCAAGGTAGTTTACAATGATTCTGAAACAGGACGCAATCAATCTAGCGACTAAAACAAAGAGTATTACAGTACATGTTTGATAGTTGCTCCCTAGAACGACAAATGATGTTTGGTTGTCGGGCTCATATGATTTTTTCTTTTGGACCCCGCCCGTTTTCGGAGGCACTCCATTGTTACATGTGACGCATGGCAGCATTATAATAGCTATCGCCCACACACCGAGCTCCGGAGCTCAGTGTGTAAACGGGTCCGATCTGCACCTGTAAGTAACATGATCCTTACCAGTACCAGAATTAAAAGGTACTTTTGTACGTATACAGATCAGCAAGATGGACTAGCTGGTAGAAATCCTTAGTGCCTGTAGACATTTTCTTGGACAGGCAACTCACTTTCCATTTTCATCCGGGTCACACAAGTCTCCACGAACAATGCAGTTTTTTGCTCCTCTCGTCGCTCTTGTCTACCTCGTCGCCGGTGCTGAAAGTGCGTGCACCGGACCGAACGCGCGCACTACTCCGCCTCCCGGTGCCATTGTCGTTGACGCCACAGGTGCCTACAGGGGGAGTTTCAAGACGGTGTCGGAAGGGGTAGCAAAGCTGTCCACCGCGACGGGAGATAGCACGCTCTTCTTGATGCCCGGCATTTATAAAGAGAAGGTCACGGTCCCGCCGCTCAAGGGCAAGCTTATTGTACAGGGCTACACGTGTGACACGACTTCGTACTCTGCGAATCAGGTCACTATCACCCGTGCCATGGCGCAAAACGATATCCCCGCCAGCATCACCAAGAATCGCAATGACTACACGACCACGCTGCTGCTTAAGTCGAGCAACGTGAAAGTGTACAATCTCAACGTTGCAAACACGGCCGGGAACGTTGGTCAGGCCATTGCAATGAAGATTGACGGTGCTAACTACGGAATCTACGCTTGCAAGCTCACAGGTTACCAGGACACTTTGTACGCGAACCAAGGACCTGCGCTCTTCGCCAAGTCATACATTAATGGTGCCGTTGATTTCATTTTTGGTCTGTACGCGAAGACTTGGTTTGAGTCATGCGACATTGAGTCTATCGGCAAGGGATGCGTCACTGCCAACGGCCGCACCGACAACTCGAACCCGTCCGAGTATGTCTTCAACAAGGCTCGTGTCTTCGGTTCCAAACCGGGGCAAGCTTTCCTGGGTCGTCCGTGGCGGCCGTACGCTCGCGTTGTTTTCCAGAACAGTGATCTCAGTGACGTTGTCGACCCCGCAGGATGGCAAAAGTGGAACGGCGACAACAACACGGGTAACGTCTACTTCAAGGAGTTCAACAACAGAGGAGCAGGGGCTGCGACCACCAAGCGTGTAGCTTTCAGCGGAACGCTCCAGAAACCTGTGGCCATCACGGAAATCCTTGGGGAGGGTTATGGGTCCGCTTGGTGGGTGGACAAGTCGTTCATGTAGACCAGTAATTCGGTAAACATGAATTTCAAGTATTGGCATTGATTAACCCCTTTAGCCCCGCGTCCTGTATTCTACAGGATAGCCATAATCTTATCCTGATTAATACAGGACAAATATTGGTCAGTACTCAAATCAAGTCATGTTTACAATTTTTTAGTAATACGGAATGATTTGAAGGCCAGACGATTGTTGCTAACCTCAGAGGGTATTATTCGTGGCCTGAGCATTTTGCCAGCAAGGGATTAATAGTATTCGGTGAAATAGTACTCTGTGGTACTACTCATATCATTTAATTTTTGGTATCTCTCATACTCATACCCAGGTACAGAGTATCTATATTCATAGTAGTATTACCGCCGTTCTCTAACCACAATAGTAGTTTCACTACTACTATTTTGAAAGGCCTCCCAGCCACAGGTTTCATTTTGCAATCCGCACACAACTGGCTGTAAAAGACTCTCAGTGTACACGCGAACGATGGGGTGCGCTGTGAATGGATGCCAAGAAGGTGACGAACTCAAGACAGACCCCTGCACTGTGTGCGGCAAGCAGGTGCACCACATTTGCGCCATTGGTGTGTTCGAGGGCAAGGACTCCGCTTTGAATGTAACGGGGTACGTAGCACTAAGTGTACCCTGGTTACATGAAGTGTGACACTTCACACTTCAGGAGTATGACATGTCATACTCCGGGATATTTGGTACAAGGTACCAAGGTCATTCAAAACCAACCATTGGTTAAATGACATTGCATTTCTATAGGTAACTGATAGTTTGTATTAACCTCAAACTTAACCTACCTATAAATATACTCAGTTTACAATCTACCTTATTTAGGTCACTTCGCTCTCTTTAATTAAAGAGGGGACCTGTGAACTGCCGTTCACTGAGAGTTTGTATACTCTCGGAAGATAACTTCCTCTAGCGCAAGGTGCTGTGTGACCCCGTCACACTTGGTAGCACTTGTAGTCAATCCACGCCATCGCGGGTAGACTACCTGAACCTCCGAAGTTCGTTGCCATGGATAGGAACGACTTCTCCCATATGAACGACTCTCAGTTCGAGTCGGTTCGGAAGATGGCAGGCATCTTCGGGATGGAGGCCCTGCAGAGCCTGGTGGTATCAACACCGGCTGAGCAGCTCGAGCGCGTCAATGCATTCGACGCGTACGAGCAGGGCCTCATCGCGCATGTGCGGGAGAACCTGCAGGCTCCGGCGGCGGAAGCAAACCCGCCTCACCCGAAGCCAATACGGCTGAAGGTAAAGCCGTAGGAAGGGAAGGAAGGCGAGAACCTTCACTTCTGGGTCCGAGAAGTAGAGCTCGCGATGGACGCGGCTCTGATCTCGACCGAGCAACTGCGTGTTGCTTTTGCACTCTCCAACCTTAGCGGTCGTGCTAAGAGATGGGTGTACACTCGGGAAGCGACATCCCCTGGATGTTTCACATCCTGGGCTCAGCTGTGCGAACAGCTCCGAGCCGCGTTCCTCCCGGCGAACTACGAGTACCGCCAGCGTTCGCGCTTCCTCGCGTGTAAACAAGGAAGACGCGAGCTGCACGAGTATGTGCAAGAGATACGGGAGCTCACGGCGTCCCTAGTGGGAAACCCACTCAATGAACACATCAAGATGACTGTGTTCATGGACGGTCTTCGAGTGGGCCCCGCACGCACTCAGCTGTTCCGGGTGCAGGCAAGCACCCTTGAAGAGGCGATTCAAGTGGCTCTTCAAGAAGAGTACAGCCATCGCCAGGCGCGTACGCCGGCCTCAGCGTGGCCTGGGAGTTCCTTGTCGGCTCCCGGTCGAACAAGCCCCAACGGACCAGTTCCCATGGAACTCGGGTCCGCCGAACAGCGTGACATCCGCTGCTTCGGCTGTGGGAAGATGGGCCACTTCAAGCGCGACTGTCCCGCGGAAAGACTCCGCAGACGGTCCTTCCCCAAGCCCGTCCTCAAGGGTCGCTGGCAGAAGCCAGGATCCCGGGGACAGGGGAACGCAGGGAACCAGTAGGGGCGGGGCGCCCTACTGGGGAAGAACTAAGTCTTCGTGATGGGTGCGCGGGTGGCGCGTACCACGGGGACTTAGCCCCTGATAGTCTTCGCACTCTCGAATCGGCGAAGAGCAGCGGCGGGTTGCTCGTAGTACACGGATGTGTACGGGGGTACGATCACCCCTTTAGAATCTTGATTGACTCTGGGGCGTCGAAGAATTTCGCACGCCGCCAGACGGTTGCTCGTAACAGCAACAAGTTGTCCGAAGCTTTGCGAGAAAGCAAGGGCAACGGGACGGTGTCAGTGCGACTGGCCGACGGGAAGGTCGTCACTGTCCCCAACGTCCAAGTGGATCTGGCTGTCAAGTTTGAAGACTTTGACAGCCTCGAACAGTTCACTGTTCTCGATATGGATCCATATGATATGATCCTGGGCATGCCCTGGCTTGAGAAGCACGAGCCCTGGATCGACTGGCGAGGCAAGGCAATCGGTGCCAGCCGCCCTGCGCAGTCCGACAGAGCATTGGTGAGTCATGTTCCCACCTCTGTCAGGACCCGGGGCGCCCGCGAGGGCTGCCAGGGTACCAAAGCATCCGGCAGATGCTTGGGAGTCGTCGACGTATATGACGACTCCGAGGATGTTTTGATGGTGGCCGCGCCCAGAAGAGGCGCCGGCCAAGTGGGTAACTTAGGTCCACAGGCGGGTAACTTAGTTCCGCAGACAGCTGCAGCTGTCATGAACACTGAGAACAGCGTGTTCAGAGTGGGTAACAGAGTTCCACTCACGGTCGCCCAGACCATAACTGAAGAGAAAGACGTCGGATACGCTTCCTGTGTGAGTAACACAGTGCCACACGCGGTCGCCCAGACCTTAACTGAAGAGGGAGGCGTTGAACACGCTTCCTGTGTGGGTAACACAGTGCCACACGCGGTCGCCCAGACCTTAACTGAAGAGGAAGGCGTTGAACACGCTTCCTGTGTGGGTACAACAGTACCACACGAGGCCACGAGTGCCTCGGATGTTGTAGCGACGACATCCCTAGACGTGGGCAGCAAAGCTCCCCGTCACAGAAGCCGTCGGCAAAGACGCCGCCGCCGCCTCAAGTCGGATCCGAACTTCGTTCCGATCGACGTCGCTTCAAGCGACTCGGAGTCCAGGGCCCGGGCTCCTCCGACAAGGCCGGTGGAAGAGTGCTATCACATCTTCGATAGCGAGACGGGTTTACCCGTCAAGGCATCTGGTGTCCACTTGGAACAGTTGCCAGAGGTTGCAGAGATACTGAACCTCGAGGAAATGACGGCTGAGTCTTTCCTGGCCAACCTCAAGGCTGGAGAGATCGCTGAGATGGTACTCATAAGACCTGAGACCACTCAGGAGGAGCTGAACTCCTCCTCTGTCTTGGACGAGAACGTCCTGGAAGACATGAACAAGCAGCGTCAGGCGCGCTTGGGTTCTGAGATTCTCAAGAACCCCAAGGATCCGGTGTATCCTTTGGTGACGGAGTATGCGGACGTGGTGAATAAACACCCACCGACCCAGCTCCCACCGGATCGAGGCGTACGGCACGAGATTGATCTCGTGCCCGGCACAAAGTATTGTGTCACGAGGCAATGGCCTCTCCCGCGCGAACAGTGCGAGGTCATTGATGCCTTCTTCGCCGCGAAAGCGAAGGCAGGCATGGTGCGGGAGTCGAAATCCCCGCACTCGACGCCGACTTTCTGCGTTCGTAAGCCGAACGGAAAGTGGCGTCTGGTTCACGCTTATAACAAGCTGAACAACGCAACGGTGCCGGCCCAAACACCGATCCCACGAAAGGATGTGTTGTTGAACAGCATGGCCGGGAGCGTACTGTACAGTGCGCTGGATTTGGTAGACGGATACTACCAAATCCTGATGCGAGAGAGTGACATCCCGCTCACCGCGGTAAGCACTCCAAGCGGCATGCTTTGGGAGTGGCTCGTCATGCCGCAGGGCTTGTCTAACGCCCCGGCGACGTTCAATCGCCTGGTGACGCAATTGTTCCGCCCTTTGCGTACCTTCGTACAGACGTACTTCGACGACATTTTCGTCCATAGCCGTGTCGAGGGAGGCAAGACGGCCATGGAGGTGCATCTAGGACACCTCCGTCGAGTGTTGGACGTGATGCGAGCGAACAAGCTCTACGCCAACATCGACAAGTGCGTTTTCGCGTCACCAGAGATCAAAGTTCTCGGTTGCTTCGTAAGCAACGTGGGCGTTCGGGCTGACCCAGACAAGGTCAAGGCCATAGCAGCATGGCCGACGCCCCGATCCCAGAAGGATCTTCGAAAGTGGTTGGGTTTGGCCAACTACCTTCACAAGTACAGCGCTGGGTACGCGGGCTTCGCTAAGCCCTTGTCGAGCCTCCTTCAGAAGGACGTCGACTGGCGCTGGAAGCAAGAGCACCAGGATGCTTTTGACAGCATCAAGGCCAGTCTCCAAGAGGCCCCTGTCCTGGCTCTGCCGGACGAGACGAAGCCGTTTAGCGTCGTCTGCGATGCCTCTGATTACGCCATCGGGTGTGCATTGCTGCAGGACGACACGGCTGGACAGGAACGAGTCATCTCATTCCAGTCCATGCAGCTCAAAGCCGCCGAGCGGAACTACCCTGTCCATGACAAGGAGCTCCTGGCAATGAAATATGCCCTTGTGAAGTTCCGTGTTCACCTTCTGGGCTCTACTCCCTTCGTGATCTACACAGACCACGCGTCCTTGAGGACGGCGACTAACTCGCCTCGCATCTCCCTTAGGATGGCGAGTTGGCTGTCCTTCTTCGCGGAATACAACTTCCGCGTCGAATACAAGCCGGGCAAGCCCAACGTGCTTGCGGACACCCTCTCTCGGCGTCCTGACTATGAGTTGGACCACATCACGCGGGTGACAACGGATCTATATGTTCGGATACGCATGGCGTATCGGGACGATGAGGCTGTCGCGCCTATCGTCAAGTTCCTTAAGGCCGGAACGAGCGCGAAGTCCGACTGGCTCTCGTCGC